TTGTTTTTTTTTTTTTTTTTACTTCCATAATATTTGAGGAAGGGGGGCACAACAATACAATCCTGCTTAGGGCATACATTTGGCCAGCAGCGGCCCTGCTCGCAGTATTTTTTTCCTGCCTTGTAAATGCATTTAAATTCATGATATATTTTATAACTATCTTTTAATCTTCATCACAGAAGTGAATTGCACTGACTCTCTTGCGGGAAGTGAATGAAACTGAAGCTCTTCGTGTTTTATATCATTGGCAGTTCACTGCAGATGTCCCACTTTCAAGTGCATGTGCTACAGCGTTCATCATAAACTCTTAATCAAACCCTGAGTTAACAGAGAATGTTCATAGCAAACTTTGTGAGCCCACTGAACTACATCTAAACCAGGTTACTCATTTGGTTTTGTCAACTCTAAACCTACTCTAGGTCTTAGATGCTTTGGCGCAAGACAGGCCCAGAGCCATACTGCTTGTGCCTTTCTGCCAATTTGCCTGTTTCCTGAAATGATATTGAGAGTTCATCAGGACAAAGTGTGCCTTCTACTGGTGGCTCCGTTTTGGTTGTTTCAAGCTGGTTTCTAAGATCTCGTGTCACTTCTGGAGAAACATCCATGGAAGGTTCTGATCAGGAAGGACCTGCTCTCTCAGGCTCAATGAATGGTCTGGCATCCTCGGCTGGAGATATGGAGACTTTGGGTTTGGCCTTGGAATGGAGAACTTACTGTAGATTCAAGCCTTTCATCTGAAAACTTTCACAGATTGGTCAAACCCAGCATTCTGCAGTGAATTTGTAAAATGTATTTGTGTGTGTGTGTGTGTGTGTGTAATGACAGCTAAATTCTGTAATTGATTGTTGTGCTAAGTACGTCATACGTTTGTGTCTCGCGTATAACTTAATGTTCTTTCTTCTCACATAAAATTACTAAAACTCAAATAAATGTTTTATGTCCATTTATTTATATATTTGGTAAGTAGCCTAATGAAATGGTAAAAGTACTGTCATGTTGGTCATTATCTCAATATAAACTTATATTGAGTAACTTATATTCAGTAACTGTACGTGAAATTACATTTTTATATAAAATTGTCCCTACAATATTATGGAAGTACCTCTGAAATGTGAAATGACTACAGTCTCAATAATTTGTACACCTACGGTTTCTACGTGTTTTAAGACCTGAAAAAGAAATGAAGACCTAGTCTAGACCAAGTCCTTCTGACTCTGACCAAGTACTACATGCAAGTACAAGAATATTTGAAGAATGGTGACTCATCCACACACCTTTTGTAAACATAATCTGAAACAGGTTTTATTTTTGAAGAATGAAAAAACATAACTTGCATGTGCATGACCATAAGCCTAACTACAAGAGACCAGCTACTGTATATACACCAGCAGGTGCATATAATATAAAACATACAAATGTGTGACATGTGCTTTCTTAAAGAAGTATATATTCAAAGTATATATATAAACCATAAATCTCCCAAGATCCAAAAATGTTGGTGCTCACAGTACCTGTTTTAAACTGTCAGTATGAAAGGTATGACATTTTTTTCAAAAGGTAACACAATACATAATCAGCATATATGTGACCCTGGAGCACAAAAGCAGTCATAAGTAGCACAGGTATATTTGTAGCAATAGCCAACAATACATTGTATGGGTCAAAATTATCCATTTTTCTTTTATGCCAGCAATCATTAGGATATTAAGTAAAGATCATGTTCCATGAAGATATTTTGTACATTTCCTACCGTAAATATATAAAAGCTTAATTTTTGATTAATAATATGCATTGCTTAGAACTTCAATTGGACAAATTTAAAGGTGATTTTCTCAATATTTCGATTTTTTTTTGCACCTTCAGATTCCAGATTTCAAATAGTTGTATCTCAGCCAAATATGGTCCTATCCTAACAATGACATTCTTAAAAACATGTAATTTGCAGGATGTAAAAATGACATGCATGAACGTTAGCAAACACTGGTGAGCAACTTTTTTTTTTTTTTTTTGCTTGTTTGATCGTTTGTTTGTTTTTTCTCCAAAAGTTCTAATATAGGCCTACACAAAAATAGTTTTGATAATTTCATGGATAAGCATAAGTGATGACCAGGCCAAATACTCGAAACATGTCAACAGGGACTAAATTAAACAATGTAAACATATCATACAAGAGAACAGCTGTCTTGATTCTATAAACTCAGTCTGCATAAGCATTTTTAAGTTAAGAAATAAAAAAGATAAAAACAATAAAAAGAGTGCATTAATGCCATGCATGGATATAGAATAAGTCTTACTGTACAAATTCTGATAGAATCGTCCCATCTTGAATAATTGGCTAACCTTGCGGAGGTTGTATATGAGTCTTTTGTGTTCTTCAAAAGTTAACCATGGTGGTCATCTGATAAAAGCCAATAGTGAGTCAGGGAACCTGGGGGAATTTATATCCTGAAGAGAAGTGAGACATAGGGACACTTCATAAATCCTAGAGCACAGTTATTTATTAAAAATGTATGTCACAACAACAGATTTTCTTTTATTTTCTTGAGATCTACCAGATCTTGAGTGGTCATTATCTGAGTGAGTTATATTGTTGCTATGGAAAATCTTCAAGTTATTATGCTTAAGCTATAAACTGCCATTAGTCTGTTCAAGGCAGATGAGAAGCTGTTAAATTGAAACTACTTCAATTTGAAACTGTAAAATAGTTAAGAGATATGAATCCCACATGAAAAATAGCTTAAGTTAAACATGAGTGATCAGTTTTACATGCATTTTTTTACTCTCAGATTTCACAAAATAAGGAGAACATTATAGGGGTGAGCCAAGAAAGAGAACTTAGTTTCTGATATTTGATGATGGAGAGAAATGGGTGGAAAAGAAATATCCTTTTTGTCCACACAAAACTTACTTTCGTTTTCACATGAAAATTGTGCTTCATTACAAACATTTCCAAAAAAAATACATTTTTATCCTTATTTTAGAGCAAGGTGATGGATGTAAAAATAATAGAGGAGAGCATGCATATATGTTTGTGTTTTTAATAATTATACAATAGTCTCATTTAGTTAATTGAAACAAAGTATAATGTTGTTATTTAAGAGACTGATAGAGTGGGGAGTGGACTATTGCTAGTGGGTGGATCTTGGCCAACTTCCTCCTCTCACAGCATGTTGAACTACCAGATGAGTCAAGAGTTTCATCAGAGCACTACACTAGCAATGCGAGTGGCGCACGTGGACCGCAAACTCTCCCGGCGACTTAAAAAAAAAATGTTAAAAGGCATTTGATTTGCTGGATATACAGTTTCACACAGTTTACAATTATGTTTCGTTAGTCTTGTGTTTATTCCGAACAAGAAAATGTGCCGTATGACGCTGTAAATTTGAGCTCACGCTAAATTAATTAGTAGTGAGAATGTGGGAGCTGTCAGAGTAGTTTTTTTTAAGAGTCACTCCACATTATTTGACCTCATTATGGTGGACAAGGGTCCCCTTCTGACTTCGGCTATCATTTTTTACCTGTCCATTGGGGCAGCAATATTCCAAGTCATCGAGGAACCGAACTGGGAGATCGCAGTAAAGAATTATAAAGCAGAAAAGGAGAAAATATTGAAACAATTCCCATGTCTTACAAAGGCTGACCTGGACCACATTCTAGAGGTAGGATTACCACTGTTTGAGTGACGTCAGTTCTAACAAATGTGCGAAATTACTTGTTGCAACTCGTCTTCATGTTGGAGTGTAACAGAAAGCTAAATGCATTCCTGTGTTTTAATAAATTTAAGTTGTAACCCTCTGTGAGAAACCTGTTTATTGCATTAGGTTGAGGTATAGTAATTGTAGGTATAGGGAGGAAATTTATAAAGTGTGCACATATCCTACTTGCATTGGGTGGTAGAGTTAGGTTTTTGCCCTCCTGTTTATTGCACCTGCTCTTTTAACCAATTGGATTTATTTAATATTTTAATTTGTAGGCATACTATTCAAGATATGTCTCCTACAAATGTTTCACCCACTTACACAAACATTGAATTGAGTGTTTTTGCATTTAGTAACCCTAACCCTTTTTAAACTCTTTGAGGCAGCACTCAATTTTTGGCACATTATTGTGCATATAGTACTGTTTAGGGAACTGAACCCTGTTAATGTTTGATGATGATGGTAGTTGCTTATATGATGGTAATATTAAATGTGTCAACTTGAATTTGTGTTTTAGAATTGGACAAAATGTACAGGAATGTAAGGAGATGGCACAAGTGTCTCTTAGGGTCATTTAATTGCTTGAAACCAGAAAAAAGACATGTAGAAACAAGTATTAATAATGTTCTCCTGTCCCATCCCCCTAATGTAACTGACATTTGAGTGGATTGGGTAAATGTTGCCACCAGTGAAATGACCCTTTTCAAACTGTGGTCGCATTCACTTTCACTTCTTTTGTTCTCTTTTGTTATGAAGCATGAGGGACAGAGTGGCGTGAAAGACAACTTTGTGATGTGTGGGGCTTTCACTGTGTCTGGGCTGTCAGCTGAGAGGCTGTCTGTCAGCTGAGGAAGCTGTCTAAAACACGACCAGTGCAACCCCAGTACAAGATTGTTACAGCAGCAGCACCTTCTGAATGCATAACTCACAACAATGAATATTAAATAAGCCACATAATTATTACGCAGTACCAGAAATGATATAGGGTTGTGCAATGGCTTACTGATTTTTTACATCAGCACAGTTCCAGCTTTTCACATTTCTGTAATTTTGTATTTCAGTGTTTTTCACGATTGTGGTTTTATGATTTATGAAGCAACAAGC